TTCTGTTGTGACTTGATACTGTATAAATAAACTGAATTGAATTAAATCTGATGAACCAGATTCTACAAACTTCTCACTGCCACTGAGGAGCTGACATCCCAGTTCAACTCTGTCTACTTAAAGACTGTGGATCATGTTGTGCCTGTTAAAACCAAAAAATCAAAACTCAGAGCAGAACCTCGGCTGAGTGACGTCACCAAGGCCATTAGGCAGCAATGTAGGAGAGCGGAGCGAAAGTGGAGGAAAGACAGGCTGCAGGTCTCTTTTCAAATTCTTAGAGAGTTGGCGCTGTTATCAGAAAGCAGTGAAAGCTGCTAAATCCACATACTTTTCTGATATAATTACCTCAAACTCTCGCAACCCACGTGTCCTCTTCTCTACCCTACACGCTGTTCTCCACCTCACTGAACCATCACCTCTGGAAGCCTCGACTGAGCTGTGCGAGAACTTCTTACATTTCTTTTTGGTAAAAATTGCGACCACCCGGGCTCTCATTTCCCCTCCAACTCATGACCCATCCATCCCACCTCAATCTGTAGCTCTATTTGACCATTTTGATCCCATCACTCTATCTTCTCTAGAGCAGGTCATGTGCAGCTTGAAACCTTATGATTCCCCCTTTGATGTGGTCCCCCCTCGACTACTAAAAGAGGTTTTTCCTACTTTAGGTCCGTCCATTCTTGCTATAGTAAACAGTAGTTTATCCACTGGTGTGGTGCCAAAAACCTTTAAGCATGCTGCTGTCCAGCCTCTCCTGAAAAAAAAAAAAACCTTGACCCCTCAGTCGTGTCCAACTTCCGGCCTGTTTCCAAACTCCCATTTGTTTCTAAACTACTGGAGAAAATAGTCGAGTCCCAGTTGAAGTGCTTCCTGAAGGGTCACGCCATCTTAGAGCTATTCCAATCTGGCTTTAAACCTCTCCACAGCACTGAAACTGCCCTGCTGATGGTCTTTAATGACATTTTCTTAACCGCTGATACCAGTGATTCTGTGCTGCTTGTCCTATTGGACCTCACAGCCACCTTTGACACCATCGACCATGAGATCCACATTGCTAGGTTAGAGCAGTGGGTGGGCATCACAGGGTCAGCCCTCAATTGGTTCAGATCTTACCTCACTGACAGATCCTTTTGTGTCTACATCAAGGATTTTAGTTCTGCAAAGGCAGAGCTTAAATGGGGGTTCCGCAGGGGTCCATCCTGGATCCCCTTCTATTCTCTTTATACCTGCTGCCGCTTGGTGCTATTTTCTGGAAACACAACATGCCCTTCCACTTCTACGCCGATGACTGTCAAATTTACTTCCCCCTAAGACACAATGGCACATGCTCTATTCAACCTCTGCTCGACTGCCTGGCTGACATCAGGGACTGGATGGCTTTAAAATTCTTAAGTTTCAATGAAAACAAGTATAAAGTTATGTTGTTCCCTCCCACTGACACGATCACAAACCACTGCATCGACCTTTCCGCTCTAACCCTGTCAGAAAAACAAAGAGTCCCTAATCTGGGAGTGATAATGGACCCTTCCCTGAAACTTCAGTCAAAGAGAAAACAGGATTTCATGATAAAGCCGGCACCGTTTATTTATTTTTAATCTTCACCGATTAAAAAAAAACACAACTTTTTTTTATACATAAAATGTTTTAAAAAGAATGTTTCCACCCTTCGTCCCGATCCTCCCGCCTGCCAGGGCTCGGAATCCAGTCTTTGTGAGCAGGCGAGGCCGGTACTTGGGGTCCAGTCTCACAGGCTTCAATAGGTCTGCAGCTCGTATAATCCTCCGCGGTGACACCGCTCACTCAGATTTTGTTGTCGGTCACCAAACACAAAAAACGCCAGGACTTCAGAATTAAACACGGTGTTGTCATTATTGTTTTTAAAATCTTAAAAATAGATCCAGCCGCTGTTCCACGTCCCGAGAAATTGCAAATGGCGGATCGGTGAAAAGTTTCTGAGATCCAGTGACTCCTCCCCCTGACCAATCAGTGTCCTGCATTCACGTTTCGGTCCGGACTCAGCTCGACTGAGCTCGCTTGGTCCCACCAGAGAAGCAGGGATGAAAAGAGGTCCTGAATCAGCCTCAAATCAGCTAAAAATACTAGCTCAAGTACTGATGCAAAAGGGTTCTTTCCGTGGCGGGCTGCCCAGAGTTAGGGCTTATTAGGGGCAGTGCAAATGGGGCATTAGTCAATCATTCACTGTGATAGTGTGTAAACGTTCAAGGTGTTGGCACGATCATGCTTTTAGTTGTGCTGATTTAGGTGCAAATAAAATTAACTATTTTTATGACTTTGTCTAGAACAGGCAAAGGATCCTAAAGGCCAAACTGACTCCATTAAAGGAAGTTCATGCACATCCTGTAATTTTTCATTTTTCCAATTTGAAAAATGGATCTTCTGCCGCTGTCATTGCAAAGCTTTGCAAACACACCTTAAATGTCATATTCGATAAAGAGATGCTCTGTGGTTTGCTCTTTCACTGTGTGGTGAAAGTTCTTAAGGTCCAATGCATCTATCATTTTGATATATAAAACCCTTTGTTGAAGTTTTTCCCTTTCAAATTCAAGTTAACTTTAAACCAATTAGCATTTGAATGAGAAATAACTTTATTGCTGGTGTCATGAGGGTTTTAGGAAGAACCCCATTAAGCTGACTTTTAATTGCATCAATCGTAACAGCCACATCTCATGATCTTCCAAAAATAGTCAGCATTCCAAAACTAAAAGAGGTATGGGGTATACCTCTGCAATGTGTATGGAGAGCAGCACTATGAATAAAGTATGTCAAACAGTTCAGTTCTGTGACTAACTGCTTCCACAGACGATAATTCATTACTGGATCACACCTTGGGCCATCAATGGGGTCTTATCGTTAAATATCGAGCATTATGACTCCATCACCACCTCCCTTAGCAACAGCGGTGTAACAGCAATGGCCTGAGCTCAACCCCAGTGCCGCCTTGTATCTTACATAAATCCCACTCAGACAGGAAGCAGGTGTCCATGCTTGAAAAGTGTGGCGTGAGAGGGGCATATGATGAATGACATTGTTGATGAGTGGTCTTTTTTAGGTTTGAATATATTTAGATTGCAACAATCAGCTCTGGCATATGATCCCTAGCTTTTAGCTTGACTCTTCCATAAGAAATAATCTCTTATTCTGCAAACTGATGAGTGTGACGGCTGTGGGCTTATAGATGATTACTGACTGTTGATAACTAGTCCACAGAACCACTACTATAAAAACCCTGAACTATTCCTGGTGGTTATTCGCCGAGTTTGCTCGTCTGACTCCCAATAACACAATGGATGATGTTTTTTCTTTTTATACACAACATTGCTGGTGTTCCACTGACCATCACATAGAGCCACGCACGCAACATTTTTATTGGTTGGTTCACAGACTCAAGTCATATCCAGTAGTCGCACTGCAAATTTGATCATCCTACACTTATGATGCTAGAAGAAATGTATCCCTGCCTGTTTTTGGCATACCATGACAAAGGCAGTCTTTAAACCTGTCTCAATATCTGAGGACCATTATCTTTTGACTACAAATAGCCATGGTTCTTTTGAGTCAACCAGCTGTTTGAGATGTATTCTCTCCTATCTAAAACTTCACATGCCACAATAAATCAATAATAATAACCCTAACAACATGCACTGTTGTCCTTAAATTTTATGGAATGGTGGCATGTGTAAAATATGCAGCATTTGCTTTGGACTTCTTGAATAAATGTTCCCAACTTTTTAATAAAATGTCTCGAGGAGCAGCAGCTGAGACGGTGTATAAATATAGGAGCAGATTTTCTAGCACATTCACAGAAAGTCAGCGAGTGCTGGCAAGAGTTGCTAGTTCAGACTCTTTTCTGCTGACTTGTAAGTTGCTTTTCACTTGTCAATACCGTGGACACATTCAAATAATGTGGTACTGATACAAACACAAAAAAGTAATCAAGGAGCCTCATTTGCCATTAATGACCTGCATCATATCCTGTCTCTACTGGTATAGATGCTTTCCTGCATCACTTTTCCTCATATTTCACTTTAAGTATCTTTTACCAAGGTTGCTCATACATTTTAATTAACATCTTAGTAATCCTAAATCATGCCATATTGTATTAAGCAGTACAAGTGTGTTGTGTTGTGCTTCTCTGCACCATAACAGACACCTGCTTAATGTTTCTTTGTTCTTTATTGAACAAAGAAATAAGACTGAGTTTAGTGCAGCTCCTCAGACTGGCAAAGTCTTTTGGATAAAAGCTGAACAGTTTCAACAAGAAGAATCTGTCCAGAGGACCTGATTTAACCTTGTTCCATTCTTCTACCTGGATTATTGACCATGCATCAGGATATTTGTTCTTTATTATTTTACTTTGTGCAGGACATTTAGTGGCTGCAGCAATTGGGCAATAGCTGTGTATATAGGCAACAGTACTGGTAAGTGAAAGTGCACAGGTGGGAAAACTATGAAAAGTAAACCAATTACTGTAGTTTATGCACTCACACACATTCATGCACCATTTGTAAACAAAAAAAAAGCATTTCCTTAGAGGGTCTGTGGCGGTTCAGATACATTTTTTGTTATTTGGAATGCAAGAACTATGGAGTATGCCAAATCACATTTTAATTCTGGGATTTTATTGCTTCTTTCTGCAACTATATTTTTTCCTCTCTAGTATCCAGTATTCAGTTTACTAAAAAGGTTTTGTTGAACTTCTAGACTGGCAACGTTATGTACTGTACCAAGGTACAGATTGGTTGTTGCTCTTAGATCAATCTGAATAATCGTAAAGCTATTTGTTTAAGGTCTACAAAGTGTAAAGTCATCAACACTAACATTTGTTACACAATTAATTCGCCCTAATCCATAGGCAGCTATAAAAAAGATTAAGCTTTTTCAAAAGTTTTTGTTTCAAAACATAAAATATATTCAGTTAAACGCAAAAATTACTGAACACAATTAAATTTTGTAATCGGTCTTAAGATTTTGATCCGTACCTGCGTTTCGGATGCCAAGCTGCAGGGCGCTGCGGTCTTTGGTCAACCCGTTGGTTTTGGGACTAGCACTGGGTGCTACAGTTGCCACAGCTCTGGGTGGTCGCTTCCCAGGAACTTTAACTGTTGTCCTCAACAAGTCAATCTCTTTTCCATGAACATTCTGCATGTAGTCCTGTAAGATGACAGGAACGAGCACTCAGTACAAATTATGTTGCATATATATATCCAACGATTTAGGCACTTGATTACATACAGTGGACCACCAACAAGAATCCAAGAATTATGGAGGAAAAACAAATTAAAAAACTATTCAGTTTCCATCCCCATTAGTCACAACCCACCTTAGACCTTCCACTATATGTGATGGTGGAAAATGATTGTAAAGCCATTATACATCACCTGTGCCCACGTCAGCTCCCTAAATAGTAAGATGTTAGGCTTAATGAATGCAAACTGTCTCATTCTGTTTCAATTTGCCTGTTTGATTTGGTTTAAAGCGACTACCGCCCAAATGTGGGAAGCCAAGGTGAAAATCATTGGGCTCAGCAGAAAAAAAGACTCAGATAGAGGCGAGCTCGGCCCTTGCCATCCCCCCCAACGGCTCCTCTGCTTTATTACCGTGTCATAAAGCACTCATTTCTTTCCCAAGCCTCCTCACTAATTACCCAGTGAGCGCTCTCATTTCATTTTATTGCTGGAATTAACAGCCAGATCGAAGCGTGCAAAGCTATTAAGATGTGTGATTAAGCCACATTCAATTAGTTTCTACAAACAATTTAATTGATGTAGCAGATAGAATTAACAGAAGGTGATTGTGTAGATGGCTTGGCTGACTGCGAAATTAAAGGTTCCCCTCTTCCACTCTCTGGCTGCCTCCCTCCTTTTCCTTTCTCCTCCTTCTCTGCTCCAATGCTCCAAATGAGCTTGAGCTGTTACCCCGTTAATGTAACTGTCTGCCTTATTTCACCTTCTCTTGTAAGTCAACACATTCATAGATTCATAGATTGCCCCGATGACCTGTAATAGCTGTAATGATCAAGAGATAGCCTGTTCAGTCAATTACATACATCACCGTAGCCCGGCGCTGCTCCACTTTAACTGCCTGTAAATTAAACCACTAACACACTGTCAGAGGAGCAAGGCCACACACAAGGTCCACGTCCAACTACTTGGACTGGTTTTTGAAGTTTGAGCCGTCTCATTAGATGCAGCATCTTTCATTTCATTTGGCAAAATGGTCTACACGTCTCAAAAACAAGAGTGGAGAAATCAAAGGGTGATGGAGGGAGTTGCAGGGGCATCTTTGAGTGCGGCACCGGGGCTGCTAAGCTGTCTGCTGCCAGCCAGTCGAGTGTTTAAGAGGTATTAGCGGCCCAGCAGGATTCTGACAAAGATGGATGTGGGAGGCTGGTCAGGCTCGGCTGCCATGCAGTGAGAACCATTATAAATAAAAGCCAGCATGGAGTCCACAGAAGAACCGCCATGTCTCCATTAGCTAGCAACATGGACAGACACCACAGCGAGATCAGTGATGACCACGAGAACGCCCTGTTTTTTAACGCTATGCTTAACATCAGAGGGTAAGCTAACATTTTCATTGTGGAAAGCTGTGTTTAGAACATCACAAAATGTGCTAAGAAGGTTTAGTCATGATAAAACATTCCCCGTCGCATCTTTTACCAAAACAACAAAGTGACAGAACTTTGAAGCTCCAAGGAAAAAAAGAAAAGGGAAAAGAAAGTAGGGGAGGAGTTGATACTCACATGTAAACTGGGGTGGTAAGTGAGGACGCCATTATCACACAGTGTGACATATTTCTTTTTCCACTCCTTGTTGAGGGATTTGCCACTTCTCTTCAGAAGGATTCCCTGTTCGAGACAAAACACCACGGTGAGCATATGCTCTTTCAAAAAGCAGCATGGTTGATGGCATTAACCATTATAGATGTTAAATACCATAAAACTGAGTTGTTATTATGGCTGCCACAGTTTTGTTATGGCACAGATGTGGAGATTTTCCTTTCATGGTATACAACAAGTCAAACTACTGTGTGAAATGACAATTACAGTAGTCCCTCGATACTTCACAGTTCGACAATCGAGGACTTAGTGTTTCGTGGGTTTTCACTGTAAGATTGTACAGTAGTCCCTCGTTTATCACGGGCATTTGTACCCCGAAGACCCGCGACAAGTGAAAAACCGCGAAGTAGTACAAGTAGTAAGCAGTATCATAAATAAAGACATCCAGTAACAAAGTGTTGTGTAGTTTTGTTGTTT